TTTTTTTTGGTCATAATTGGACAGGGGTTGTGAGCTTTGAGAAAGATCACAGAGAAAAGCATCATTCTGTGCTGTTCTCGTAATGTCGATAACCGAACATGACTTACCAACATGACTTATTACTATTGATCTTGACTTGGATCACCAGGCTTCAGGTCTTGTTTGTCAACCTTCTCCAGTGTGAAGTTACTATTTTCCTTTCTTTCATTACAACCCTTTTTAGGAGGAAGTTAAATTGCCCCATAGCCTGGTGTTTAAGGGAACTGGATGCCATATGGTCAATCATGGTTTGAATCCTGGCCCTTGTGGCTTGAAAAACACACTGGGCATCACAAGATCCCCACAGAAAGGAGAAATGAAGGTGCAGGGATGGCAGTGTGATGACACCCCAATTAGGAGTGTTTTCCTTCTCTCTTTCTCTTTCTCTGTCTCTCTCTTGTAAGCACACATACCTTCTCGCAATTAATAAGGAAAAAAAATTGCAACTTATTAAACTCATACTTTATTGTCTCACATAATCACTGTGACAACCTTCTAAGGAACGCACTATTATTCTCATTTCATAGATGTGGAAGTTTGAAGTATGAAAGGTAAAGTAGCCTGCCCAATTCATGCATCACATGCTGAAAGCAAAACTATGTTCATGCACAACCATGGGTACACACACACACACACACACACACACACACACACAGACATATGAGGGGATTTCAAAAACTAAATGGAAATGTAAAGTTTATTTTAGTGAAGAATAATTGAAATCCATGCATGATTTTTTCATAGTGCACATTTTCTCCTCATATAAGTGGATTACAGATGGTAAAATAGCATGTTTCCCTATAAAACAGGCAGGAGGCCAGATAATAATTCTGGTTTGTCTTTTTGTTCAAGAAGAGAAGATTGGCTAATTGAAGATTTCTAATTTTATTCCACTTGTTTTTCATAAATGTCTCTCTTCATCTCTACTACCAACAGCCTGGTCATCACCTATCAATAGCTTGAGTTCTTCAGTTCTCCAGAGGACTTGGTCAGTTAGAGTGAATCAGACTCAATGATACAAAGTCATGAGAATGTAAGAGGAATGTGTGTTTTTCAGAGAATGTGAATTTCCCAGTGAGCATATTTTATTTCCAGGCATAAATATGGCTTTGCTTAAATAGCCACACAGTCAATGTTACAAGACCACTATTCTCGCTGAGCAAACATGAAATGTCTATGTTTTTACAGAACCAAATTTCTACTCAAACATTTCATCTGAAACTTGCAAAACTATCAGTTGATGCATATTCCCAATGTTAACCAGCTATCTCTGGGTTGTACAAAGTCACAACATGCATTGTAAAGTACCATCCAGTGTGAAATGCTAAACAGGGCTTGTTTTTTATTAGAGACTGCACATGCTTACAAATGTGTTAATACAATGACTCTATCATCAGGCTCAGGTTGCTTAAAAAAATAATAATAAGTAATATGAGCCGTGTAGGTCATCAAATATCACTTATTGTACCTTAATACCTCTCTAAAGAGACTCTTGGTACTTAATATGATTCTTCCTTGGAATGGTTAATTCCTTTATTTTCAGAATAGAACCATGGTTTTTTTTTTTTTTTTTGCTTTTATTTTTTAGTGGGATTCACTTAATTTGCAAAGATCAAAGAGACTTAAAAGAATAAACACATTCTTCTTTTATTTAAATGTGTATATAAACACAAATAGACTAATGTAGTGTGTATTTTGCCTGACAGTGAAAGTGTGTACTTTTAAGTGGATGGAAGCCACAATGTAAGTAACTTAGACTTAAGTAACTCAACTCCCTAACACATTCAGTGCTATATAACTTGTTTAAAGGATAGACAGGGAAATGGAACACAGAATATGACTCTTTATCCTGGGTTGACAACTTTTATAGTAACTTAGGCTCATCCTTTCTTCCTCTCAGAAAGATGGGAATGAAGTCAATATCACATTATACAATATTAAGGCTTATTATGAAAGGCATCCAAAATCGATGGTCCCATATCACACAGATACAGAAATACTGCATTTTTCACAACAAGCACTTATTACCTGAATAAAAGATTTTTGCAATGAATCCAGTTTTAAAATCGCAATATTATTGATTAAAACTTCTAGTTTATTTGTATTGGTCTGATTTTATTACTTTCCACTCAAAATTTAATCTGCTGCCTGATTTCCTTACTGCTTCCCCCTCTATTCATATATCTGTCTAATTATTCTGTTACTTTAGAATTTATTTCCTTTACTCTCCCTGCTATTCCGGCTCCACTCTTCCATAACACAACTGCAGAATCCAAACTCATTGTCTTACTATGACGATTGTCTCTGCCCTTTAAAAACTTTGAAGGAAAGTTTTCACTATCTTGTTTATCACCCTCCCTGTCAAATTCTATCACCTAATAGTGAGTTGCAAGACGTATATCACATCTAGTCATTCAATTATTCCTCCAGTCATCCATACATATCCACTACGCAGAATTTGGAAGATGGAGCAGGAGAGACACAGGTAATTTCCTGCAGCAAAGCATGCACAATGTCAAAAGAATAAATCATGATATTGTCACAGAATTACTAGGATTTAGAGATGGCCAGAACATAAAGAACAACGGAGAAAATCGTGAAAGGTGAAACAGAGAAGGAAGCAAGAGCCAGCGTATAGAGGTAAAATACAGAATTTGAACTTCATTCTGAGGATTTTATGGGTTCATTCCTGTGATTTAACTAGTGGAATGGCATGATTGGTTTTGATTTTTGGAAAATTCTGGCTGCCTAATGAAGACTGCAGTGGGATAGATATTTTTCTTTTTTAGAATTATTTTATTTTATTTTTTTATTTATTCATTCATTTTTGTGTTTTAATTTTACTAGAGAGAGAAAAAGAGGGAGAGAAAGCCACCAGGTCCAAAGTTTGAACTGTGGTCAGTCATGTGGGAGTGTCTAGCACCCTAACCACCATTCAATTTGCTGGTCCCACCAATGGGATAGATATTAAGTTCCTACAAAGTAATTTCATGTATTTTATCTCACATAGTCAGAACTTCCTTAATCTCTCTCCTATATTTCTCTTTGTTCTCTTTGCTACATTAAATCCTGGAGCACATAACCTTGGATTTATATCCTACAAACCTAGATAAACTATTTGTCTTCTGTTTTATAACTTGTAAATTCATGAATAAAATTCTTTTAATTTACTTCTTCCTCTGAGTAGACAGGATAAAATCAACCAAAGATGTGGACTACCCCAACCAAATTTCTGTCTCTATAATTCACAATTTTAAGTGCTCTCAACATTAATTTTTCAACAAAGTAGAGAAACAAGAGAGTAAGAAATAAAAATTTGTATAAAATGAATAAATAATCACAATATGATAAAAGCAGATTCAGAATTTGTCTTATAAGAAGATAGCTGTTTTGATGGTAATACATAGAGAAATCAAAAGAAAACTCCCTGCCCCAAAGTATGTCTCCAGTGTTTCCTTTTGTACAGATTCTACTACTATTTGTAAAGGTACCTTCATATTTATTTACCTTGAGAATAGTAATTTTGAAATCTTTTGGAAATTTTATTATGGTTTTAAATATACTTATCTCATCCACTTAACTCTTGCTAATTTTTGTCTTTTTTTTTTTTTTAATTTGCTATAGGTAGCATGCACTTCTGAGAGAGAGAGAGAGAAGAAATTCCAGGGGTCAGGAGGATGACCACACTGCTATCTCTTCTCCTCCATTCTTATCTCTGGATTTGGGGCACACATGTACATGTACCTAGAGTGTTTTTCAAGCCATCTGGCCCAAGAATTGAACTGGACAGTCATCCATGTGGTATCCATCCATCTTAACCACCATACCACTGACTGACCCATTCTAAATAGACCTTTTATTTCTTTCTTTAAAATAAAGCTTACGTTACTTTGATCATGAAATTGGTAATATTCATATTGTACAACAACTAAAATAGGCATAGAAGAGAAAAATGAAAAGATATTCTTTAATTCCATTACTAGAAAGTAATCACTGTAACTACTTGAGATGTGATCCTCTCAATAGTTGTGTGCCTGTATTTGTAAATTCACACTCACACCCTATTTCCTATACATAAAGTCAGTCCTATAATACACACATCCCTTCTATAAAAGGACAAAACAGTATCTATGTACAGAGTGGTGAGAGTCACACAAACTAATGCCCTTAAAGTGTCTGCCCCAGAACTTGGTATGTATTAACTCCTCAAAATTTTGGTTATTATTTTTAGAACTGTAATTGTTCAGATTTATAACATACTTGTTCTTTCAACATCTTATGGGTATCTTCTCTTGTCCAAATATGGTTTTTTTAATAATCATTTTATTTCACTTATTATTATTTAATTTGCTGTAGGTAATGTGTGCTCACCAGAGAGAGACAGAGAGTAAGAAAGGGAAAGTGAGAAAGCAAATCACCAGGATCAGCTTGAACTGTGGTCAGCCATATGGGAGTCTAGTGCCTTAACTATCAAGCCAACTGCAGTCATGAGGTCACTAATGACATGTCCTTTCTTTATCCTGAGTTAGAATGTCCACCAGTTTGGCCATTTATTGCTATGAGAGCTTGCACACCATTTTCTTATGCAAAGCTTATAGCTAATGCTTATCTTTCAGGTATTTTTAAGGATTAGATATCAGGCATGGAAGGTATTGTAGTGGGTACCAAATAAATAATAATAGTTATAATCGCCAATGTTTCTGCTATGATAGCTGTAATAAATAGGTATGTGTGTGTGTGTGTGTGTATATATATATATATATATATATATTGCTTTTTTCTTCTGTTGAGTTATTTCCTTGGGAATGATTCCAGACATTGTATTACTGAGTCAAAGAATCCAAAAATAGTTATGTTCTTTGTATTTACTGTTGTTTTCCAGTAACTTTTAATCAGAAAAGAATATAATAAGCAAAGCATTTCATATATTTACATGAATATTCCTGTACCTGTTTTATCAGAGACCAGATCTTATGCTCATCAGTGAAGAGAGGGTGACTCTGAGATGGATTTTATTGCAAAAAGTTTCAAACCTTTGGGAATTGAACAGATGGTGCTAACTGATTTTACATTTGGGAGATCACCAGTCAGCCATGCTCAGAAACAGCTTTCAGAAACATCTGGATTTAAACTTACAGCCCAAACATGACAGGGTAAGTAATATAGAGTTATAAAATAGTTTCATGCCTAGATTCTCAAAAATTTGATTCACTGAGATTTTCACAATCTTTAAATGATCAGAAAAAAAGAATCACAAACCATGTAAACATTAAGACTCACATAAACTAGCACAGTACATCATTCTGGTATTAAGGCATTTTCCTCTACTTGGAGCTTAGGTGGTCTCTGAGGCTTTTTTTCAAATACTATTTTGAAAGTAGAAAAATAAGCATTTTACTTAACGGAGCACAAAGATATATTCAGCCTTCAAGTTATATGTATTGAGTCTTACTAAATTTATGTGAAACCGAAATAGTTAAACCATTAAGAAAAGAGAAAGACAGTAAAGGTATTAGCCTAACAACCAGTACCTAAGACATTCTATCCATATTATAATCCTTACTAGAATGCAAGTTTCTGGTAAGCAGATATGTCTTATGCACTGTTCTTTCACAGCTAGTTTAGTGATAGGCACCATGGTAAGCCCTGTGTGTATGCCTAAGTAAATGGTGACTATCCAGTCACTATTGTTGATTTACCGTATTACTTCCTAAACTTAGCAGCTTGTAACAACAGAGTCTATGGGTCAGTATTTCAAACAGAAGGAATATTCTGGATGTCCATGATGTCTCAGGACTTAACTCCAAGTCTGGAGGAATCTCAGTGAGTGGGGGCTAGAATTCTGTGTAGGCTCATTTACTCGCATGTCTAGAGCCTGATCTAGGATGGCTCAAACACGGGGATTTGCTAACCAGAGTACCCACACATGGCCTCTCCATGTGTCTACTTCCTCAACTTGGCGACTTCAGGATAAATGGACTTTGAACACAGAAATTCAGGGCTCGAAGTACGCGTGTTGTAGTGAACAAGATGGAGACTGAGTTTTCTTTAATTACTTAGTCATGTTCAAGGGGAAGGGAATTCTTCATGTGAGGGTGGCTCATGAAACAGGTGGTGCTGTTGTGATCACTTATCCTCTAGTCCTGTTCTTCATCTACTTTACTTGTACTCTTTCCATCTCATTAAAAACAAAAAAACAAAAATCAAAACAAAACCTCTATATTTTATTTACATAGTGTTAGTATTTAGACATGCTAGAGTATTAAAATTTTGTTCCTAAACTTTGAAACTGTATATAGCTTTTCAAACTATACCTTTCTCAAAGACTATAATACAGCTCTACTGAGTAAACAGGTAGGACATGTGTATATTACTTATTAAAAAAAAAAAATCAAGAGGCCAACAGGTGGCATAAGGTGGCCAACTGTAGTTTGTGTCCCAGATCGGCAGCTTAAAAATCACACTGGGTGCGTTGTTTGTGAATGCTCAAAATCCTGAGAGGAAAAGGGATTGCAGCAAGGCCACATACCTCGAGCGCCCCACCCCCCCTTGCCAGGGGTGATTTCTCTCCCAAGCAAGCACAGGAACCCTATGACAAAAATCATAAAAAAAAAAAGAGAGCTTTTTGCCATACTCAGTAATCAGAAAAAAAGTAAACATGCATCACTTTTTTAAATGGAATATTTGTATATCTCCAGAAAAGACATTCTCAAAATATTTGGTGAACTATCTGAAAATAAAAAAAATTTTAAATATACCTATATGGTATTTATTTCATTTTTTAGTTGTCTCTAATATGTTTTTGGTTTTAATCTTCAAAATTAAATCCAATGGAAGATATTAATATTTGAAATAATAAAATGGCTCTCTCTGTGCAGATAGCACACCTGCAAGCAAGGCGAATGGCCCTAAAGCCCCCTGGACTTCCTGTAAGAAGTTCAAAAAGGACAAGGATTCTCTGTGTGCTCAGGGAAAGCAGCATTATGACAGGAAGCAGAGTGGTCTTGGTGGACAGACCAAGGCTCATTTTCCAGAAAAAGGCAACAACTCCAAAGAAGGTTATGCTGAAGGTTGAATGTGTTGGGCCCAACTGCAGATCTAAGAAAATGCCGGCTCTTAAGAGATGCAAGCATTTTGATTTGGAAGAAGATAATAGAAAGGGTCAAGTGATCCAATTCTAAGCTTCATTTATTTTATTATAAAGACAGTAACTTCTTGAGGTGAATGTTTACCTCATGTGATTACAGTTGGTCTGTCTGCAAGGGAACAGTCAGTAAAATTCCCCTTTGTGGGGAATTTTGATTCATGGAGAGAAAAAAAAAAGAGCATATATATATATAGGGATAATTTATGCTTAGCATAGTTTATTTTCTTAGTGACCTTTTCCTTTGCAAAATGCACAAGTTTGATTTGTGAACTCAAAGTACGTAAGCTTCAGTTCCATATGATACATGGTAAAAAGTAAAACTGTCTCTTACTCTCTGACATGGAGATTTTTATAGCTCCTGTGTATATTCAGTACTCAGTAGGAGTTTTCTTTGTTGAAGGCTGAGCATGGGATTTTCACTTCTATTGTCAGCTTCAATCATTTATTTGAACCAAGATCTCCTCAGTTCACTAATTTATCTTGGCTATCAATACAAGATACCGATACTTTCACTTTCAAAAGTGTTTATGTTCTGTTTTTCTTGCTAAACATAAACTTGAGATAAACATGGTTTTACCATAATGCAATCCCCCTTTATCAACCTCCCTAGTGGGATTACAGGTACATCACAGTGAATAGCCTTTAGGTTGGACCAGGAATTGAACTCAGGCCTCCTATGTGGTCCTAGCCTGTGGAAAACAGACAGCATCATAGTGGTATGTGCTATTGAAGCTGCATCCAATGATTACTCTCATAAACTGAAACACTTAAAAAAATCCAAATACATATGGCATTTGTTTTTATTTAAAGGCAATAAATGGTGACTCTCAAAATAGTACACATGAACAGTATCCTAATTCATTAATGTTCAAAATAATAAACAATCTCCTCTATTAAATATATCTCAACTCTACTTAGCTGAAAGAAATATAACTTAGTACTATAATGTAGTATTTCTTAGTAAAAATGCAGATAAGCTCATTTAAAGTATTATCTTTATTTGCATATTCATATCAGGATAACCCTGACTGAAACAATTAGTCTAAGAAACTCATTTATGCATTTGAAAACAAAGTATAAATAACAATGATTTATTTGTCTTTGACATATTTGTGAAATTTAAAAAAAAAAGTACTGGAGAAGAAATGATGCTAAAAAAGCAATTCTAAGATTAGTAGCCTTCTTACAATAATTTATACATAGGTATAAAAAGCAATGTAATACACTGGAAAGTTATATGTAATCCAATGTAATATAAAGAAGATTATGATGATAATAAAAAATTTTAAAAAATAATAATTTATACATATGTATAGTAAATTATTCTGACTGCTGAAGAAGCCTGTTTATCACGAGTATATTCTCCAAAAATTTCTACAAAGGCTTCATTCATTAGAACCTCTTCCAGCTCCCCATTACTCAGAATTTCTTTTAATTTGTGAAAGAAAATGAAAAAGGCAAAAACTAGGGAAGATCTTTACATTTAACAACTCAGAAAGTCTGGGTTCAAATTCTACTTCTGACTGAAAGTAAATGATCCCTTTTAAAATATTTTGCTTTCATTAGCCATTCGTTTCTTTATCTATAAAATGAGTTTATTATTACCTACTATTTATAAAATGTATATATTTATCTATTCATTTATGATACTGTTTACCAAGGGAGATTAATTAATAACCTAATTGTAACTAAACACTTGCATTAAAATAGTCATTTCAATACTTGCTTTGGTGACAGACATGCACTATTCATTGCCCTCTTTGTAGATCTATGATTTATTTTACCCACAGGCAGGAAATGCAATTATGTTATATGAATAAAATAAATCTTATCAGTATCTTGTGTCCCGTAAGGAACAAGCTGCTCAATTAAACCTAAGTCAATTCCTAGCTTCCATGAATATGTAGTTGTCACATTGTCAGCTATCTCTTGAGAGGAGATGAAAAGTAACACAAGCCATAGCTGGAAGAAGAAAAACACAGTCAAAAAGGAAACTTGTAATCCAATGTAATATAAAGAAGATTATGATGATAATAAAAAATTTTAAAAAATAATAATTTATACATATGTATAGTAAATTATTCTGACTGCTGAAGAAGCCTGTTTATCACGAGTATATTCTCCAAAAATTTCTACAAAGGCTTCATTCATTAGAACCTCTTCCAGCTCCCCATTACTCAGAATTTCTTTTAATTTGTGAAAGAAAATGAAAAAGGCAAAAACTAGGGAAGATCTTTACATTTAACAACTCAGAAAGTCTGGGTTCAAATTCTACTTCTGACTGAAAGTAAATGATCCCTTTTAAAATATTTTGCTTTCATTAGCCATTCGTTTCTTTATCTATAAAATGAGTTTATTATTACCTACTATTTATAAAATGTATATATTTATCTATTCATTTATGATACTGTTTACCAAGGGAGATTAATTAATAACCTAATTGTAACTAAACACTTGCATTAAAATAGTCATTTCAATACTTGCTTTGGTGACAGACATGCACTATTCATTGCCCTCTTTGTAGATCTATGATTTATTTTACCCACAGGCAGGAAATGCAATTATGTTATATGAATAAAATAAATCTTATCAGTATCTTGTGTCCCGTAAGGAACAAGCTGCTCAATTAAACCTAAGTCAATTCCTAGCTTCCATGAATATGTAGTTGTCACATTGTCAGCTATCTCTTGAGAGGAGATGAAAAGTAACACAAGCCATAGCTGGAAGAAGAAAAACACAGTCAAAAAGGAAACTTGACACTGAGAAAATTGTGCTTCACTTAAGAGTGAGTCACAGATCAGGCAAGGAGCTCTGTTATTCAATGTTAGCACTAGACTCCTTCAGTCTGCTTCACTGAAGTAGTAGTTTCCCCCAAATAGCTTGGGCACAACATGATGCACGTACATCCTATAGGTATCTACCAGGCACGTACCACATCAACTTGCCAAACACTGTTAGTGGATAGCACTGTTTTCTAAAATATGTGTTAGTTTCTCCCAC